CCCAACCCCAACCCCAACCCAGACCCAAACAAAGAAAAAAGAAAATAAAAGTGGAAAGAGTTAAAACAAGGAATCTAAATAAACAACGAATGAATGAAAGAAAGAAAAAAAATAACATAAACAAAATACAAAGAAAAAACGAAAAAACAAACAAACAAATTAAACACACAAACAAACAAAAAGAAACCAACTGAAACAAACGAACGAACAAACAACTGAACGAAAGAACGAACAAACAAACGAACGAACAAACAACTGAAAGAACGTACGAAACCAACGCATATAATAGATAGAGCAAAAAACCGTGGGAATGAACAATTAACAAACGCCAAACTCAGTCAGCATTGACAGTTTCTTTCACTCACATATGCAAGTAAACCAAGTTTATAATGGCCGCATTGTTACTCCTTCCACGCAGAACCACGATCAGAAACCCCTTATAGGCATATAGACGGAACTGGAATGGATGAGACCAATCCGAGTAAATATGACTCATTAAATTTGGATCCTCAACTTTAACCCAACAAGTTATGCTGAAGCTTCTCGCATGAAAGTCAATAGCTGGTGTCTCAAGATGTGTGGTTTTGCCATCAAAACAAGCTGCCATGCGTCCACCATCTTCTTTGTAAACCATAAAACCAAAGCTCCTAGAAAAAACAACAACAATAGAATGCAAGCTTTGGACTGATGTCTTTTAAGGTATAGGGCTGGGACCTTGGATATAGACATACTATTGAGCCAAGTACTGCAAACCTCCGGGGAGAAATAGCACTGGGCTTTTTTTTGCTAAATGTAATTTTTGGATGGGCTTTTTTTCCGGATGGATTGGCTTTTTTTGTCCAATGTTGTAACGCAAAAATACAAACCAAATTACTTACTGAGAAGAACCAATCCAATCTCTAAAATAATATATATTTATTATTTATACATTTATACCTAAGGTCCTTGTCTGTTCCATCAAGTTTCCAGTACTTTTCTGCATTTAAGGAAGAAGCTGGATGATGAAGCTCTGCAATAGAAAAGGTACGGAACATCCCTGTACCATTGCTTTAAAAGTTCTCGTAATTTCAGCGCAGATGCAGGAATTTTATCGACCACATTTGAAAGCGTTTTCTGTGCAGAATGTTCACATAAGTGTGCAAAATAGCATCTTTAAGAATGTGAGATGGAAATATGTTTTGTTCTGGGCCCGGTTGTACGAAGGTTGGATAGCGCTATCCGACGGATAAATCTTATCCAGTGGATAAATTTATTGGATAACAGTATCGACTTATCCACTGGATAAGGGTTTATACATCGGATGGCGCTATTCGCCCTTTGTACAACCGGGCCCTGGGGTGAACCTTCCAAAATCAAATTTATAGATTTGCGCTCTCCAACTTAGAAATGACATAACTGCCTAAACCCCCCTTTTAATTTGGGCAAAATGTTTTCCCATTTCAGATCACGTGTCATTCCCTAGAGTATTATTTCTTTGTTTAACGATTGTCCATGAGAAGACACATGAATATGGAAACCACTCACTCACTGGTTAAACACAAAGCATTCAACCGATGCTGCAAGGTTCAAATTTGAATCATCTTTTGAAATTACCTTGGCACCTTGCTTTTTATTTGACTAGTGAACCAATGTACATGAACCGCGGAGCCGGGGGAGGGGGGCTTTTTGCGCCAAAAATACAAAAATTATGAATATAAATAAAAAACGTTTTTTCTTCAGAAATTTGATGCTTAATTTTGAAATGCCAGCCCCCCCCCCCCCCCCCCCCCCCCCCCCCCCCCCCCCCCCACTTTTCAATATGCTCCGCAGGCCCTGAAATGTATGTGGAAGGTTGTGAATTTTCAAGGGAATGACGTGTCTGACTGAATGGGAAAGCATGCATTACGCTCATTTTTGCCTTGAGACATCAGAAACATCAGAGACATCAGAAAGCTCTTTGTCCTATTGGCAAAAGTCAATCAATTAAAAAAAAGTATTAAAAGAACATACCTGCTTTGGGAATGCGGTCACAGGATTCTTTGCTTAATGTTATGTCATCCAGAAGCACGAGGGACCGTTCAGTTGTCTTGCGTCCTTCGATTATCAACTAAAAAGAAAATTTGGAGGGGTGTAGAGGCTTTGCACTATAACGTGATGGCAGCCATGACAGGAGGCAGGAACAATTGAATTTGGTTTACATGAGAAAGAATTCAGTTTCCCTGGTGGAAAAAGTTCTAACTTCTGTCATGGCTGCCAACACGTGATGGTTCAAAGCCTCTATACTTAGTTAAAAGAAATCTTAGTAAAATATCCGCCTGAAGACAAAATACCAAAGCCTTGAAGAACTGAGCGACCGATTGACTAACTTGACTAACTCTGGCAGATAAAACATTTTAACCTCTTCGAAAGCATAATCTAGAAGTGTGAGATTACAAGAAGAGAGCCATGTTGGATGACAAAAATAATTACGCATCTTTGCGCATGAAATAATTGAATTTCAAACGTATACTGCCATCCAACATAGCTACTTAAACATGTCCGTAGATATTGTTTATTTCAAAAGACGATTTTTTTAGAAATATTTTTAGCATATTTCATTTTAGATAATGATTAATAACAGACAAAAAACTAACTTGAAAATCGCTGTTACTGGTCAGCGGTATCTGTGAGTATTGCCAATGTGTATCTGTAGAGTTAATCCATAATCTTTTGACTTTATTCTTGCTTTTGATACTTAGCCGGATCTCGCTGCCAAGCTTTCTTCCAGTGTAGATGTAAAACCAAAGGGTAATGCAAGCGATGTTGTCATTTGTAGAGATGATGGGACTTGTGAGGGTTTCCCATGATCCAATGCCAGATGAAGATAGGTATAAATAACCACCTGAAATAAAAATTATGTATCTATCCATCCATTCCTTTCCCTACTTTTCCATAACTTTCCGTTTTGTTTTGTTTGCTTTGCTTTACTTTGCGTTGTTTTGCGTTGCTGTGCTGTGCTGTGCTGTGCTGTGCAGTGCAGTGCAGTGCTGTGCTGTGCTGTGCTGTGCTGTGCTGTGCTGTGCTGTGCTGTGCTGTGCTGTGCTGTG